TGTGTGTTTCGTAATGTAAAGATTAGGCTTTACTAATTTACAGATTAAGTTTAATTATATAGCAAATTTTGCAACCTGAGCTAACGGAAACACAAGATGAAATCCAGACTTAATTTGTAAAACAAAACAGAAATAAATCTTAAAATACCACAACTTGTAAGATCAATTTCTAGCATGAAATAAATATAAAATACTAAAATATTAAGACCACTGAGAGCAACCAGTAGCCATGGAAAACATGCCCATGTTTAGTTTTTTTTTCTTAAAAATGTCAGTGGAGGAGGAAGATTTGATTGAACGAGGAAAGCTCTTCCAAAGGCACGATCTCCCCCTTACCCGGCAGCATCGATCGAGAAGCAGTTAAAAGCCGTTGTTCTGACAGTCTGAGAGGCCTTGAGGTAAAGTAGGGCCAGAGAAGTTCTGAAATGTACCAAAGTGTCAGCCCATGCACAGCTTTAGAAATGAATGAAAGAACCTGAAAATCAATTCTGTATTTAACAGGTAGCCAGAGCGGTTACGCTGGTACAGGTGGGATGGTTGCTTGTTGTGTTTCTGTACCAGGTAGGAGTCTGGCAGCAGCTGCAGACAGAGAGGAACGACTGACCAACAGTCAGATACAGGGTTTGGGAAATGAAAGTGATCACAGTCGTTCTATCAGTCACACATGTGGAATTCAATGTGTTGGCAGAGATGGAACCATTAATTGTTGGCAACTCCTCGTATTTTAAAGGTTATTATAATATCAGCAGTATTCTAGCTGTAGTTTTCCACTAAACTTTATTGCAGTACACCAAGTTTCAGCACTTTCACTATATTGATATAAACAGAAAACTATATATCCAACTGTATTCAGCTTACGAGTCAGTCACTGACAGGTGAAGTGTCTACCATCGATCATTTTGTTACGGTGCAATGTTCTGCAGTGAAACCTTCGTTTTTGGCATTTATGTGGATGCTACTTGGACACGTACCACCTGACTAAACAATAAGCTTGTTCGAGATGAGCCGTGCCTGGAGATTAGACGCGAGCAGACGGATGGTAAAAGTCTGTGGTGAAAATGGACTGATTCCAGCAGCAGAAACCTAAAGAAACCCACCATTTATATGTGGTTTCATATTTTACACAGTGTCCAGTGTTATTATTTACAACAGAGCCTTAAGCTAAATCCAGCGTATTTCCTGCAACCTTGTTTAAACTTCCAGCGTGTGTCACCATGTTGTAGGCGATGTGAACAATGCCAAACTTCTTCTACTCCAGTTTAGTACTGTGGTGTACGTGTTTGTGACACGCTGCCCCCTGCAGTTTGGTAACAGACGACGTGCTGAGTATAAAAGCCACATGTGCTGATTCCATGCGTTTTATTTCTGCGCGTTACGTTGGTACGGAAAGCATAATCCAGCCTTACGCAGGACATTTCTTTCCCCAGTTCATTCCTGGGTCCTCCTGGGGGATTTCAAGGCATTCAAGGACATATCAGATAAGATATGAGATACATAATCTCTCCAGCGAGTTTGAGATCTACGCCGGATCTCCTCCTCCCAGTTCTGAAAACCTCCAAAAGGAAAGCGCCCAGGAGGCTTCGTAATCGCAGGTCCCAGTTTGATCGAGCATCATCAGGATTCTCCAGAACAAGCCCCCCTGATTCACGGAGGCTCCACCTCACATCCCACAGGAGAGTCTGCTGCCAACGTCCCGGTGAAGGACGCATCAGAACACCTCCAGAGATCCTGCGTTCATGCTTCAGTGGGTCTGAGCTGTTCTGACGCCACGAGAGGGACCAACACAGTATCAGGCAGCTGGTCATACCTGACGGGTGTACGTCTCTATCAGTCTGTCTAATAGAGACCAACAGGAAAACAACTTCATATGAACAACAACAACAAAAACTGGTTGATTGTACGTGCAACCATTCAGTCAATGAGTCAAGCCTGCAATCTGCGGTGTAATCGTAGGCCTCGTAATCAAACCGCTCGCTGCAACGTTCAGATTCTTACTTTCTGTCGTAAGTGAAGGCTGAGCAGGTTTTAACCGGTTCCTAGTTATTCGATTCGCTCCTTCACTTCCTCTCCAGCTTCACATTCCAGCTGACATTTCAACTGCTTTCACTGCTTCGACTGACACTTCAAACTCCATCAGATCTTCTCCTCTGAACAGCTTCCCCTGACGTATCGCTTCAGTTTATACACTTCAGCTGACACTTCTGGCTCAACTGATCACTTTAAACGCCGTCATTTCTAAACTCGACTGTCATTTAAAGAGGGTTTTTTTTTCAGTAATTGTATTTTGACAGCCAGTTAACCTTGAACTTTTTCTGTATTTTCGTCTGCAGGTGTGCAGCACATAAATTCACTCCAGAAATGTAACCTCTCTACATGTAAAGACTCTGATCGTGCCCATTTTTAATATTCTTATTAATATTCTTATTTATGTGGTTGTATAGATCCTGGTCTGTTTCTACGGAGGTGTTATAGCGGCTCGGCTCAGACTGTGCCGTAGAAAAACAGTTTATTCTTACCCACCATCCTGTCTGTGAAACTGCTGAGAAGAAAAACAATCCTGATTAATAATTTATCCTAATTAGGCTATTCTGATCCAGGGAGGAGCGCAGACACCTGAGAAGGCCTGGATCTCCTGCCACCCGCTTGCATTTTTCATTACCTTCTGGCATTAATACAACCCAGCCATAATTTCTCCCTCGCAGGCCCACACTTCACCCCACGCATCACATTCCTCCTCTTTCCTAGACGCTAATGATATTACTGTCCCTCCTGACAGCGAGTCTGTCTCCCAGTCCTGTAATTAGCCCCACATAAACCCGATAAGCTCGGTCCCTTCATGGCCTCTGTGCCAGCCTCTCCTGCCTCGTCTGCTGCCATTCAGATGCCTTTGAGATGGCCGTGATAAAATTACAGTGAATCCTCGGTCCTCTGGCGTCCGGAGGCCACGGGCTTTATGGTGTCCATAAATTTGCCCACTTGATGAAATTAACACACCGTTGAACCCTGCGTTATTGGATTTGTTTGTGTGTTGTTTTCGGGGTCTCCAAGGAGGTGGGAAATCAGAAACTGGATGTGAAAGCATCCAGCGAGGAGAAAGCGAAACAATGCACCGGAGTGCAATTTAAGAGTGCAGCTCAAGTTCAAGACGGTTTTTTAATTTTGTGATGAAGTTATAAACATGTTTTGAAATGTAATTTTGTCTTCTTGCAGAAAATTAGTAATGAAAAAAAGTTAATTACCGCTCTCAAAACCCCCCTCATTAGACATACAGTTCAACTCAGGCTACAGCTTAGCTTAGCTTGTAGCTCAGCACAAAACCTGAAAAAATAGGGAACAGCTAGCCTAGCTCTATTACCATGTTCTTATTTGTTTATAATAGAAAAATATACCATTTAAATATTTCAGTTAAGGAGTGTGATGGACAGTTACCTAAAACCTTCAAGGGGTTTAACAAGTGGCAACCTCCAGAAAACTTTATAAAAGTACAAACATAGTTTTAAAACATAAGAGAAAATACATTCAATTTGAAAATGTTATATCATGGCCGTTGATTTCTTGACACTTAGCTGCTGTGGTTGCTTGTTTTCAAAGGACTTTTACGTTTTAAACTTTTTTGTACAATAGCTTTAACGGTGATGCTAGAGGGTTTTGTTACCATTGAGGAGAGCTTACTTGCTGTTTCCAGTCTTTTGTACTAAGCTACAGTTTTTGAGTTTTGCGATTTTCTTCTCTTTGATGAAGTGATGAATACAATTTGAAATATACTTTTGGCTTTCTGGCAAACAGTTAGTAATGAAAAAAGTTTGTTGCTGCTCTCAAATATGTCTATTACCTCAGGGAACTGCTTAGCTTAGCTTATAGCTTAGCACGAAACCTGAAAGCATTGCAAACAGTTAGCCATGCTATATCTCAACATTTTGATTTCTTGACACAAAGAATTTTCAGTTTTATGCTTTTTTGTATAAATGAAGCCAATAAAAT